ATGCTGGGCAGTGGGTTGTGAGTGACCTCCACTGGCTGCTGGCTGCAGCACGGCCCAGCAGGGCAGGGGTGAGTCATTATGCAAGGGGGCTTCGAACCTGTCTGACCAGTTATCTCCCAGGGAGCGGAACAATGGGAAGAAGGGGAGTGGAGCCCTGGCTGGGGGCAGGGCTGGAAGTGAGGGAGTTAGGTTTCTGGCTGGGATCATGGAGGAAGCAGCCTAGGCAACGGGCTGGGATTTAGGGGCCCAGGCTCCCCCATCTCAAGGGGGGCTGAGGCATCCTAGGCCTGCCCTGTAACCAGATGACATCTGTGCTGTGCTGTATCCTGGAGAAGCAATAAACTCCCTCTGTTCTACTGGCTGGTGGAGTCTGTCCATGCCATTACAGGGGTGCAGGAGACGGGAAAACCCCAATGTGCCATCACACCAGCTACCCATCCGGGCCTTTCCAGAAGGGGAAGAAAGCGCCCCGGAGGCCGGAGCTCCCTGCCCAGGAGGCCGGATTGTCCTTTTCTGCTGGCTTATTCTGGGGCAAAACCCAGAGCGACCCCTCGTCTTTCTGTCCGCTCCCAGCTGCTTCCCCAAGAGGGCTGGCTCCTGGCACGGAGACAGGAAGCCATGGCTGAATGCAACAGCTGGCAGAGCGCAAAGGGGGAGAGGGGAGAGATAGTGTTGCTGCTTTAATTCCTGTGCATACAGCGCTCTCTGTTTTACTGGGGCTGGGCAGAGGGAGGGGGGCGGCAGAATTCATCTCGCTGTAGTAAAAGCTCAGCTCCCCCCTCCTCCCAGCTCCTATTTTTCTGCTCCCCTTTCCACAGTTGCTTTAATTCTCTCCAGACGCTGCCTAATGGATTTTTCACGGGGGGCCCAGCTCCTCTGCAGGCAGTGGGTTTGTGTCCATTTCAATGGCCCCCGGAGGAGCAGGGAGGGTCAGGCCATAAGATTCTGCCATTTTATTGCCTCGGCCTGTTGCTGGGTCTGTTTCATCCACCCGTGGGGCTCGGGATGTTTTGAACGGGGCCAGGATCGGCACCTGGGCTGGTGTGAGTCGCTCTGCCCGCAGCCGAAATCCCTCGCGGGCAATGGGTCCTCCCCAGCAGAGGATCCGGCCCCTCAGGGTTCAACGCTGGGGCCGTGGAGAGAAAGGAGAGGCTGGGGCTGAACTCCCAAGCTCCCTCTCCCAGCTGCTGCCGGGCGCGCCCTGGAAACGCCCAGGTAACCGCCGCTACCTGAGCCCAAATCCCAGGTGACTACAGGCGGCGCCAGACGGCAGCCAGGTGCAGCAGCTCCGGTGGGGTGAGGAGGCAGGGGGTTGTTTACACTGAGCGCCGGGCGGTAAGGCAGGGTGTGGCTGGGCTGCAGGAAGGAGCTCAGCTCCGGGGAGGAGGCAAGGGCTTGGCTGACTCCTTATCCCCGCCGCTGTCGGAAGAGGCTTGGTGCTGGGAGTTCAAATGGGGTGGGTCAAACCGGGTCAGAGGCCCTACCCAGCCCCCTCCCTTCAGTCTGAGCCCGTAAGGCCAGGCAGGAGCAGGCGGTGAGGAGCAAAGTCTAGGATCACGGCAGGGTCTAGGAGTCGGCACTCAGCCGTTCTCTTCCTGGCTCTGTCAGCTCACCACGTCCCTGCCCTGTGCCTCAGTTTCCCAGTCGGTCTGTCAGTGGGGATAATCCTTTGGAAAGCGCTGTGAGCCTCTGCCAGGGAATGGGTGGTTTACGGGATCGCTGAGCTGCCGGTCTGCCCGCGAGGTCCAGCTCTGATGTGGCGTTATAGCACAGGCCTTCCTCGCCTCGCCTCGCCTCGCCTCGCCTCACCTCACCTCGCCTGCTGGGGACGGGCCAGGGTCCTGCCAGCAGGACTCTCCCCTTTGTGTCTCCTACCGGGCTCGTGGGGGCACCCAGAGAGCAGCCGTGGTGGGGAGTGCGGGGGGATCGCCTGCTACGGGGCCAGATGCTGGTACCACCGAGCTGGGGGCTGTAGTGTGTTCGCAGGTCTCTGCCGAGTGAAGGCAAGCAGGGGCTGATGCCTGAAGAGGTGCAGGGGGCACAGTTGGGGGCTGCTGTCCCTGGGACGCCTTTCCCCGCCCCTCCTCCCAGTTTCCCTGCTTGAGTAGGGGCTGCTGGGTCGCTCCCTGAACCAGTGTGGATTCTTTGCAGCGAACGCCAGTGGGGTGAGGGGAAGGGGGTGGGCATGAGAGAGCAAGAGGCCCGATGCAGTGAACATAGGGAACAGGCCGCTAGCCCCGCTGCCCTCCAATGCTCTGCAGGACAGAATTGGTTCTCTCCCGCCACCAAGTGGCAGTGCTGGGGACAGTCTCAGCGTCCCCGTGGGCGCTGCCTCCCTCTCTGCTGTGTTGGTTCCTTCTCTTGATGGCACTGTCATTCTGCAGTCCCCTTCCCCCCTCCGTATCCCCCCATGCCCCTCCTCTCCCTCCCTGGGTGAAACTTCAGGTGCTCCCTTGGGTGCTGACTTGCAGTCACTCCTGGTTTTGCATCAGCGCGGGCGTTTGCCGGGGAGAACGGGGCTTCTTTTGGAGTGAACCTGTTTCCTCCAGGCTCGAGGTGTGACATGGGGCACTCTGACCAGTTGTTTTGTGCACCCAAACTGTTGTGAAGATGGTGGTGACGGGGAGAAGACCGGAGCGGCAGGAGAAAGGGGGTGAGGGAGAATCCTCCCGTTTCCTGCCTTTGGACCACCAGGCTAACGAGACCGTTGGCAAGGAAACGGGAGCCACAGGTCCCGATGCTGCTCCACACAGAGCCATGGCCTCTCCCTCTGGATTTACCCCCTGAGAGGAGAGAGAAACCTGAGGAACCCCAGCCTGTCCCAGCTCCTCTTGCAGCACCAGCTGACTTCCATGGGGGCTTTCAGGGGAGAATTAGGCCCTTTCTCACCAGCTGCTTGGGCCTGAAAACACCTTCTGACTTCTCCGAGCAAGAGAGAGAGGCACCAATTCAGAACTGCAGCCAAGCTGAGTCCAGGACAGGGGTGGGGGGAGAGATCCAGCCTCCAGGTTCTAGGGGTGGCTGATCAGTGACCCACAAACACCTAGAGCAGCGGGCTCCAGCCTTTTTCAGCACGAGATCCCTTTTTGAATTTAAGTGCAATCCAAGATCTACCTCCCACCCACATACCCTGGCCCTGCCTCCTTTGTG